CTTCTCTTCTAAATCTTCTTGCATTGTCTCACACAGCTCTTGGGGGACATCACATAGCTAAGCTATCCCAAGCTCCTTCAGTAGGTTTCAGGAAAGACAAAAGGAATGAGACAGGTGTGTGAGCAAGAGGAGAAGAAGAAGATCAAAGCAGCAGAGGCTTTGGGAGAAGCAGAGTCACATTGGTTGCTGCAATGACTGGGTTTTCTTCTGTATGTGCTAAAGAGCTGTGTGAATTTTCTTCAGACTTGTAGTATGATTTAACTAGAGACTTGAAAGAAAATAACCTTTGCCACGCTGCTGATAATAGATTAAAAGAAAGCAGGCGATGGATTTGGTAGTTGGCAAATCCTACACTCCAGGAGGCGTCTAGTTCAGGCTTCCTGGGACAGCTTGATAGGTTGACTTCAGGGTGATGAGAGTGAATAGGTGGTAAATAATTGAAGTTTAGATGTGTCTTTAAGACAAAGCTAACAATTTCCTGCCAAATTAGATAAAGGATATAAGAAAGAGAATTTAGGGGCTGGGATTGTGGCTCAGCGGTAGATCACTCGTCTAGTACGTGTGAGGCCCTGGGTTCGATCCTCAGCACATATAAAAATAAAATAAAGATATTGTGACCATTTACAACTAAAAAATAATATTTAAAAAAAAAGAAAGAGAATTTAAAATAAACACTAAACAACATAGCTGAAAGACCTTCAGCGATAAGAGGCGAGCTGTTTACTTGTTAAAATACTAGAATAGTTGCCTCATAGACAGTTTGATGATAGTAAAGAGCAGGATGCAGAGCTGAAGCAATGACTAGCAGCAAAGAGATGGGATGAAGTGGATGTGTACAGAGGAGCACAGAGCCTGGGAGTGCAGCGGCCTGCCTGTGGACAGAGGGCAAGGCAGACTGTGTCCACTGATGCTAGAAGAAGAGAGGCTGCTGTGGTACCGGTAAGTCCCACAAGTTCATGTTCATGTCAACAACTTTCTGCCCTTCATCTATGTTTGCAAATTTTGAACTCCTGAACTTTTAGTTCAGTGTCACTTTTCTCTCATCTGCCGCTCAATCTTAAACAACCTTTGATTAGGGAATGTGAGAGATGGAGAGGAAGAAGGGTTGAAAGAATAGAGAGAAAAGGAATGGAGAAAGAATAAAGAGGAAGAAAAGTGCAAGAAGTGAAATACACAACAAAAAATAAATGAAAAAAGAGATAAAGAATAACAGAGACAAAGAAAGTAAAAAAAATGTAAAGATTCATTGGTTTAACAAAGTCTTCACATTTTAGGATACAAGGTAAGGATTGACTATTTGATTGGAATTGATAAATTAAAACCTTAATAGTGACAGAAATTATTATTTACATAGTTTTAATCTAGCCTACACTGAAATTTGCATAACTGTTACTCAAAAAAAATAACTGCATAGTTAATTAAGGGCTCAAAGTGGAAGCGAGCTTTAAAGAGGGAGGGGTTGATGTGTATTTATGTGTTTAAACTTTAGCCTGAAAATGAAGAGACCTAGAGTTACAGAAAGGGCCTAATTCCAAAAACAGTCTCATGTACATTTTTAAAAACTGAAGAATTTAAAGCAGGAAAAAAAATCTATTATAATTTGTTCTCAAGTGTTTAGTTTAGTTTGTTCTCAGGAAAGTTATTATAAAAATTCACATAATAAATAAGTTTTAAAATTCCAGGTGAATGTATGAAGTTACAAGACCTGTATCTCATGTTCACAGTCCATTTAACAAATTTAGTGGTATTAAGAGCAATAACTGAGGTAAGGAAATGTTCCATTCTTTAGCACAGAAAAGAACTTACAATAAATTTGATTTCTGAAAGCTGAACAGATAATTCTATTAACATTATATTTTGTGAAAGAAAATTCAGAGATCATATATATGTATATGGTAAATTATTTGGGTAGATACTTTAGACATTTTGTGATTTTACCTGAGAAAGTAGGTATAAAATATGATTCACTGAGTGGATATTTAATAACTTTATCTAGTACATTGTGTTCAGTGTAGAAGAAAATGGAAAACAGAAGGAAATTCAAAAAGAACACATGGTGGTTAAAAGCCATGTAAGATCTGTCCAGTTAGAGAGGCGCCTATCCAACTGGGGGACTCTAATCAATGTGGATAGAGAAGATTCATCTCAGAATATCCACATTATTTTGGTTCCATGTCCTCCGTAAAACCTCCTGGTTACATTTGGATACCATGTACAGTGTTTATATAAAGATGAGAGAGTGAAGACCCATCTCATTTCTCTGGTTTGTTTATTTCCAGAGATACATGAGATTAAACTCAGGGTGCTTTATCACTAAGATATATCCCCACACCTTTGTATTTTAATCTGAGACAGGATTTCACTAGGCTCCCCAAACCGGGATCCTTCTGATTGAGCCTCCTGAGTTGTTGGGATTACAGGTTTGTCACCAGACCTATCACAGCACTGGTTTACATCACAGATAAATTCTCATTAGAAGTCTGAGAACTTACTTTCTAAGTTGTGTATCATGATAATATTTATGCCTAAATTCAAAACCATCTTTCTGAGATTTGATTTATATCACTGTGTATCTCCCATGGATACATGAGATATACATGTTATTAATCTTCTATTTTTCTCTTTAATCTATCTTGTATTATAGGGTTCTGTACCCAAATAAAACTGATAATGGTTAGAAATAAAATAATGTTTCCCTCTCCTTATGTATTTTTTACTTTGTAATGACAGAAAGGTAGCTTCACATGTATATAATAAAAGTTCAAACAGTTTGATATAAAACAGTGTTTCTTCCTTCTGGGCTGAGCAGGGTCTAATGTCCTTGCCAATAAATTGTGTGAATTTAATTGCTGTCCTTGGTTACGGGTCACTTGGAAGATATTAGTCACATAAAAGATGAAATAAAATTACTCAAATCTTGATTCTACAAGGAGTAAGGAAAGAAATTAAAATAAATCCAAAACTAGGATTGGGGACATTTATATGAGATGAGGTATAATATGTGCAATTTATCACTTTAAAAAGATTTTCTCATGTAAAAATACACAGTTACATTTCTTACTCTGGAATTTAATTTTGATATTTTAATAAAACAGGTGGGGGGACAACTAAGGAAAAATATTTCCTACTCCTCAATCTCAATGCCAAGCTAAGTGATCAGAACATGGGAGGAAAATATTACTTATTAAACTACAAAGTTTGCTAGGTAATTTCAGATATAACATAAGCCTCACCAAGGCATTATTATTATAGGATATTATTATAATTGTATGCTGTATTTTTATGTTATGTTACATTAGTGTGTTATATTATATAATATTATTATCATCATTATTGTATTAAGCATATCATTCCAATTTGGTGGAAAATGGAATGGAGATATAAGAAGGGAAATAACTTATCAAGCATGTTGAAAAGTCAAAGCTTAGATTAGAACTCAAGAATAGTTACCTCTCAAGTGTATTTCCCTTACCTCCCTTCCTAGTGAGTATAGGACATTTCAAATAGAAAACACTAGGGAGATTTTGGAATTCTCCCATCTATTTTACTAAAACATCTTTTTCATAATAAATACTTATATTTGTGCTCTAGTTTTATTTCATAATATCTATATCACTCATGTATTGAGAGATATTTGTGATGGCAAAGAAAATTAATTCAATTTTAAATATATTCATTGAGCACTTGCACACGCAAAACATCATCTTAAAGTTTCTTTGGGGAAAAAAAAAGAATTAGAAGGGAAAATGCTTTTTCTCTCACCATTCTAATGTTTTTATTCTTCCTTTATACAATTTTGCTAATCATAATGTATTTTGTTAATTTTTGCCACTTCAAAGGTTATGTCCATACAACCAATGAGATTGAACAACAATCAAATTATTTCTAGTGGCTAATTACTGGCTGAAACCACAGAGGACAGAGAATTTTCAATTTTTCCTGCTTATTTAAACACCAATTTGGTTCCAAGTTTGACTAACTGCCATATTTCTTTCATGATTGATGTAATTTACCCTTCAGGATATACCACAATGCCAAAATCCTAACCATTGGTTCGTAAGACTAAAATTGTCATTCAAGTTGACTTAGTCAGAGGGAACCCCAAAAGGAAAAAAGGCAATGCTGATATTTTCAGCCTAAAGAAATCTGCAGTGCTACTCTGCAGTTCACAAAAGGCTTTTTCCTGATTAACGAATCTTCTGAAACTTCTTGAACATTACGGAGGTCTCAGAAAATGTCTCAATGCAAGCAGGCATAAGTCAGAAACATGTAGATTCTGTTTATGTGAAATATCCTGTTTTCCCTGGAAATGAGTGGAACACTTTTGTGTTGTTAGTCAGCTTCCATCGCTATGACAAAATATCTGAGGTAAACAATGTAAAAGAGGGAATTACTTATTTTGGTTCATAGTTTGAGAGGATTCATTCCATAGTCACTTGGTCCCATTGCTTTGGGTTTATAGTGAGGCCAAACACCATGGTGGATCAAAGCTGCTCATGCCTTAGCAGCTCAGAAGTGGAAGAAAGACAGAGAAAGGAGACGGGGTCCAGAATTACTCCTCCTCAAAGGCATGCCTCCTTGATCTTCTTCCCAAAACTATAGGTCCCATCTCCTCAAGTTTCCACCTCCTTACCAGTACCATCACCGGCTCCCAAGCTTTCAACACATGAGCTTCTGAAGCACATTTAAGATCTAAAATGTAACAACTCTCTTTAATTGAAATAGTATCTTTGTGCCCCCATACACACATACCTGCAGAAGATATTGGGAAAGTTCCAAGAAATAATAATAAGTTCAATAATAAGTTTAATAATTAATAAGTTAATAATTAATAAGTTTAATAATTAATAAGGGGAGATGGAGAACAGGGTATATATAAACCAGAAATAATATAGTTCACATGGGGCAGGGTATTGAAAGTATTTCTTGTCATAGCAATCTAAGATTTAGAAGTGCAACATAGTGCCCCTTTCTTCTGAAAAGGTCAATAAAGTCAAGAATGTATCTGAACATTGTGTTTTATTTTTAAGCTTGTAACAAAATTATTCATTCACATTAATAGCAAAAGTGATAATTAAACATTTCTGTGTGTAATGACATCATACACATTTTTTAAAAATGACTAAATCAAACAAGTACTTATACATGAATGTTCATAGCAACACTAATCACAATAGCCAAAAAAGAATGTCCATCAACTGATGGAAGAATAAACAACATGTCAGCAAAATAGAATATTATTTATCTATGTACTTATGCATTCCTTCATATGCAAAAGAATGTAATACTCATATATGCTATAACATGCATAAACTTTAAAACATAATAAATGAAATAAGCCAGACACAAAAGATCATATATTATAGGATTCCAACTATGTGAAATACCCTGAATATTTATATCTATAGAGACAGAAAGCAGTTAGTAGTCTGACAAGAAATGGGGAGTGACTGATTAATGAACATAAGATTTCTATGGGGTGACAAAATTGTTTTAAAACTAGAAAGTGTTGATGTTTGCATAACATCATGAGTGTTGTACTTGCCTTTGGATTGTTCACTTTGAAATGGCTTAATTTATGTTATGAGAACTTCATATTATAAACAAAAAATATATTACCCTTTAAACAAGATGCTACACAGAAATACATACTCTTGGTTTCTTATTTTATTATAATATTCCTTAATTAACTTTAACATATGAATCAGTGTACATACTTCTGTACAACTCTAAAAGCAAAACAGATTTACAAAGGAAATACCAAGAAGCTCTACAAAACTAATAAAATACAAATCAGCAGCATAATTTAATGCTATAGATAATCTTATGCCAAAACTAAATGGTCCCTCAAAAATGAGAAGGCTATTTACTATGGCACAGGTTCTGTCTGTAGCCTTGTGTAACACTGTGTACATTGTGACAGATGAATGCTTTAACTCTGCTCTCTCTGTTCTGCTTAGCTGTGAAGTTCCTGGAAACTCCATCTATACAGCATGGCATGTTATCAAATGGCCCATCAGTTAGAGGCATATTTCTGAAAAATAAACAGAGATTTGGACAATGAAATCTTATAGCAATTTCAATTATAAATAAGGATAATCTTTATTCGTCTTCCAAAATGGAAAAATCTGAACATAAAAAGACAACTCTACTAATAATTACTTGGAACAACATGTAAAAATACCTCATTTCAGGAAATCCAGGACATATGGTTTCCCTATTTACAAAGTGGTCACTCCAAATTACAAAATGTGATCTTGTATGCATGAAATTAATTGTTAATTTGATTGTTAAGTTTTAATTGTCACTTTTTCTTGCCTGGTTGGAGGAATTAATTTGCATTCACTCTTAGTGATTGCAATTCTTCTCTATCTCCGAATATGGTTAGGGCCTAGGATTTTTAAAGGATGGAAGAGCGTGGACTTGGGGAGAGCCTGCTCATCCTCATTTTCAGAGTAAATTGATCAACACACACAGTTTGTTCTGGTGAGACTTTGGAAGCCTGGGCATCTATTGATTTTGTATCATTCACATCCATACTGCAAAAGGGCTCAGAAACATCCATTTGAGATGCCACCCCAGGACTGTTTTTGCACACTCAGGCTATTGCCCCTGAGACCTGCTGCATGCATACAAGTGATAATAGTTTCCACTAGTCCCAGAACCTCAAACTCACATTCCATTTTGAATCTTGGAGGATGCTTCTCTCTCTTATGTGATCACAAAACAAGAGGGAAGCACATGAAAAGAGAAGTCATGTTACCATGTAAAGAAAAAAGAAATGATGAATCCACAGATGGTATGGTAAAATTTTACCACTTGATTATAGAGTGTAGGGGGATCCTTTATACTATTTTGTTCACTTTTGTAAGTTTGAAATTATTTCAAAATATAATATTAAAAAGAAAATTAATTTTACTTCAAAAGAAGAAAAAGAGGCAGGTTACATATCAGGTACTGGGAAATTTTGTGTGTGTGCCAGATTGTAAGTTCATGAGCTGCACGGTAATTGAGACAGATCTTGCAACTGTCAATCTCAAGTGAATTGTAAGTTAATTAAGATGGGGAGCATAATTTTCTGTGTATCCAAAATAACAGGCATCATGAATAATATTTTCACTCTCAGCCCAGCCCAATAAAGTCTCCGACTCCTGCTCACTAAAGTCTGACAACCTTTCTGGTTTTCTTGCTTCAAGACTATTACAACCTATTAAAACCGAAAAAGTAGGTTGATAATATTTTTAAGTAAATGGTGTTGGCTGGATTCCCAGGACATACTCAAGAGAAAGATTTGCACATAGGGAGTTTATTAGGAAATGCTACAAAATTGACCCCTATGGGGAGAGAAGGAAGGCAGGTTGGGCAGAGGAAAAAAAAATAAACTATGAGTCATAATGAAGGACCAGTTGGGATAATGTGCTAAGCTGGGATGGCCATTCATAGTTCCTGCAGAGAAAAAGAGCACAGAGTTTTATTCTCTGCATCAACCAGTTTTTGGATGTGGGCTTCCCTGATAACTTTGGATAAGATTGCTGTCCTCAACCAAGGGAAGTCATGGAGAGAGACAAAGCTGAGAACTACCATCTCTCACTACTCCCAGAATCTGGGGATATGAGCATAGCAGCCAGGTAGGTTGGGATGTGGGCTGTGTATTTGCATCTCCAGAACCTGCAAGTTCTCAGAATGTGAGCCTTGTAAGGTCAAGGATAAATGGCATATCTTGTATGTTCAAATACTTGCTTTTGAATTACTGTGGGAACAGGAATTTGAAACATATTGGATTTGAACTTCCAGTGGAAAAAGCATACGAAAAAATACAGCATCCCATAGGAAAAAAAGGACACTGAAAAAAAGCAGAAAAAAAATTTAGGAAAGTTGGTATCATGATGTTTTTGCCCTTGTGAGCCAAACAAAAATTATACCATAAATGTTAGAAAGAACACGTTATTTCTCAGTGAAGGATGATAGAAGGACAAGGATACTTCAAGATATTGATTTATAAAAGGAAACAAATGTGGGATGATTATGATCTGAAGGACAAACAGATGAAGTGTTAGAAGTAATCTTAAAATAAATTAAATGGGTACTAGTCATGGGGACAGGAAGAGATGCAGAGGAAGAGGCAGGTGTAAGCATGTGCTGACCTCGTGAACGGAGAGATGAAAGAGAAAAGTCAGAGACCACTCAGACGTCATAGCATAATGTCTGGGAGCTAGGAGTGAGGAAACTGGTTTACAGGAGATAGTAAGTTCTAATTTAGATACACTAAGACTGAATTTTCTTATTAGAACCTTAGATATGTCAGCATCATGGGAAACACCTCCAGGGGTTCTCATCTGGGCCTTGTCACTGCCACCATAACTGGCTATGTCCCCATACAAAGTCATTCCTACCTTAATGAGGTTGCTACATTTAAGGGGAAATGATATCTTTTTGCTTTTGTCCCATCATCTCTACCTACAACAAAGTCCAATTAGAATGCCCTTAAAAGGACGTTAGTTCCAAGTTTTTATTGAGTTAGGCAGCATGCCTGGCTGACCAAGCTGCAATCTTCACAGACTGGATGGCTGCACTTCACTGAAGGACAAAGTGATTAATGGATGGCCTTTGCCAAGCTTTAGGGGGATCAGACAAGAAAAAGAACCATTTATGTATTAAATAAATGATAAAGATATTATTTTGCCAGACATTAGATCCCCAAATAGAAATGCATTAAGCTTGATTGTGATCTTCGAATTGTTTTCCCTGGGGTGGGGAGATTCTGGGAAATAGATATCAGGGTGCCTGGAAATAGATGTCCGAGGGACACATCAGCTGAATGGATTGAATTTTTGTTGTTGGTCAGCCTGATTAGTCAGCATACCATGTTAATGAAGTCAAGGTCAGAGGCTCCATCTTTCTCTGAGCAAGTTAATTCTGCTTCTTCTCTCACAGTGGAATCTTAAGCCAATTGTCTCTAAAATAGAGAAATTACACAATGAGGGCATTTATGGATATTCCAGCAAAGCATATCTTAGCCACTAAAAAAGCAAGAAAATGACTCATGTTCATGGTGGTCAGAAATGTTATACAAATGTATGTGTTGTATAAAATATATGGCTTCTAAGAAATGATTCTACTTTGTTCTGCACAACTAACTATCACTAAGCACTATGACATGCAACATTTTTATGTACATACTCTGCTTGTCAAATGGCCTTTTATTCCTGTTACCAAGAAAAAGACCTATCCCATATTATATTCATCAATGAATACTTTATGTGTATAAACACACATATTTGAATAGTTTTCAACTGCTTGGTTGATTAATACATAGAAAGGATGATCATTTTGCCCAAAGTTACATGATTGGGAAGTACCAGAACCATGATTTGGATCCAATTTTTTAATCCAAAGCCACTATAGATTGCCTACTTATCTAAATAAAGCAAAATAAATAATAGTATAGAGTAGAATAAACATAATAGTACTCAAGGAAAGCAATATGAGAATTCCTAATTTGCCCAAGAAGGTTTTGAGTTTATTTAAAAGTGATGCAAGGAGCTTTTCCTGAGCAAAACCTCACCAAATAGGGATGAGTTTGAAAAGAGGAGACTCATCTGAATGCATAAGAGACAACAATAAAATTTTATGGTTAAAAGAAAAGAGGAAAAAGAAAAAATCATATAAAGGATAAAAATATGTAATTTTGTTGATGATGAAGGCATACATATTAAAGTGGCAATAAGATTGCTTGCTTTTTTAAATTTATACAGTATTCATGAAAATCTACTATGGTCAGCTTTTCTTAGGAGAATGATGTGATGGGCACTTCAATATTCCATTCCCAGAGTTATACACTGTTAGCCATTTTGAAGGAAGAAAATTTGGTAAAATATTTCAATAACTGCTGAAGCCCATACTCTGTTATGAAAGAGTCTTCCTTATTCCCTTCATTGGACTCTATTCTTAATAATAAAAAAGTCACCCTGGCATGGTGGCACATACCTGTTATTCCACCAGCTGGGAAGGCTGAAGAACTGTGAGTTCAAAGCCAGCTGTAGCAACTTAGTGAGACCACTTGTGAAAATAAGAGATTAAAAGGGTTAGGGATGTAGCTCAGGGGTTAAGATTCAACACCTGGTAGGTAGGTAGGTAGATAGATAGATAGATAGATAGGTAAAATCAATGACTGAGCAAATATTTATTCACAAAGATATTTAGAGGAGCATTATTTTTGACAAAACATAAAGATAGGGGTGAAGGTTGTAGCTTAGTGGTTGAGTGATTACTTAGCATGTGCAAGGCACTGGATTTCATCCTCAGCACCACAAAAAATAAATAAGTAAAATAAAGATATTGTGCCCATCTACAACTAAAATTTTTAAAAAAGATTTTAAAATATGTAAATATAATCTGAGATACAAGGCAATCAGTTAACAAATCAAAATACAATCATATGATTATATATATTGCCACTATTAAAATGCTATTTTAATACTTGTGGTTCACAGATAGGTTAAAAACAGTAAGTTATGTGGAATGATACAATGTGTCATCACTTTGTAAACTAAATGTATGTATTTATCAATGTCTATGCATTTCATAATTGTGCAGAAGTTAATTTATTCACAGAATTGTATGCAAACATAGCTAGTTACTTTGTTTCCTTTAACTAATATAAGGTTTATAAGGCCCATCCCTTTTATAGGAAATAAAACCAATTTAAAATTGAAAGATATTAGAATGTCAATTATCTGTCAGATACAAATGCCAAATACCTCTATTCCTCTAATACAGATGTGACTACCCAAGATGGTGGTGGGTATTTAAGGAGAAATTGGCTAAACAGAGGTTTCACATTATTGTAGACATGACCTACCGATTGTCATTGAGCCATGTCATTGAGCCATGTTTTTTTGGAAGGTTATTCCATAGTCTTGCACTTTACTCTTTTTGGCTTTTGGGGACAACCTGCTGGTCATATCACTGATATCTGTAGTCCTAGTCATCATACCCAATATAAGTTCACCAGCCATGTCAACTTCCTTGCTCTTATTCTGGTTGGGTATTTGTCTATCTCCCATCTTTCTGGATCCCCTATATATCATCAAAAGATCAAATTGAATTTCTTCCTTCTTTAAATAATAGCGCAAACCAAGATGATGGCATCTGATTCATCCTTATTACCTAAATACTCACCGCTACCAATTCTATTCCATACTCTTCCAGATGCAGCTTCAATCAAAATCCCTGTTCTTGGTGTTTTGCCATATAATCCATGGTAAGTGTGCTATTCACACCAACATTCTCTGGTCCTCTCATCCCTTGTTAGCTGTTTTAAGCTCTCGTTCTTCCAGTCCCTTGAGGTGGGAATGGAGAATGTCTACAATTCTTGTTCTTACCCTTCTGACTCTATCTTCTTCCCTTAGCCAAAAAACCCAGAAAACATGACAGGTCCGAGTTTAATCCATACTCCAAGTTCTCTTGGATCATATTAGAATTCTATCATCTAGGTCACTAGGTCTAAGTCAGAATAAGTTAATCAGTAGCAATAAAAATTTGAAAAATATTTTCTTTCCCTTTTTGATTACTACATTTTAGAGTTCATGAAGATATCTAAGTCCACATTTTAAAGATGATAATTGTTTTTCTTTTTTAAAATCTTTTTTGTTAGTTCATTACGGCTTTACATAATTGTGAAATTCATTTTGGCATATTAATAAATGCATATAACATAATTTGTTCCATTTTAATCCTAGCACTAACCTCACTTCCCTTCTACGTCACCTGATCCCATTTCTCTTCTCTACTAATCTTCATTCTACTAATTCTTAAAAATTGCTTCATTTATAATTATACATAGAAGTGGAATTCATTGTGGTATAGTTATACATGCATATACCATAATTTGGTGAATTTTATTCTAGAGCTCCTCCTTTTTCCACCCTCCCTCCCACTGCATCCCGCTAAATGCCCTTCTTTACTCCACTGACCTCCTTTCTGTTTTCATGAGATCCTCACCTTTTAAAAAACTTTTTGTTGTTGTTGTTGATGGACAGATGCCTTTATTTTGTTTGTATGTTTTATGTGGAGGTAAGGATCTAACCAGTGCCTCACACGTGCTAGGCAAGCACTCAGCCACTGAGCTTTGGCCCAAGCCCAAGACCTCCACCTTTTAAAATATTCTTTATATCTGTCTAATTTCCACATATGAGAGAAAACATTCAATCTTTGACTTTTTGAATCTGGCCTATTTCACTTAGCCTGATGTTCTCCAGTTCTATCCATTTACCAGTAAATGACATAATTTCATTTTTTTTTACGGCTGAATAAAACTCCATTGTGTTTATATAACACATTTTAAAAATATGTTTTTAGAGAATACAGAAATTTAGCATTGAAAAGAGATAACAATTTTCATTTTGTTTTGTTTTTGCTTTTTATATCAGAATCTAACCTCATTCCCTAGTACAATGGAGCTTATGGCTTATATTTGGAGGTAGAAAGTTACAACAAACTGTGACTTAAACACCAAAGCCCACAGTTTTAACACCTTAAAAATGAACCTTCCTATTACAGATACAAACATAAAAGAAAACATTAAAATGTAAATTATGATTAACTTTGGTTAAGATTATAAGCAATTTTTATTTTCATTTTTATAGCTCATTTGAAGTTTTCAAATAATCTCAAACAAGTATATAAAATTTTTATAAAGATAAAAATAATGGTAAAAGAATCCTTCTTAATATGATCTCTTCTTTTAAATTTTTCCTCTCCCTGGGAGAAATAAACAAAAAGCCAACACCCCCCCAAAATTTATAATATTTCATCCATAACAAGCTAAACTTTTTAAACTGTGGAGGAAAGGACTAACTGCCTTTTGAAAAGCCAGAGCCTTTAAAAATATATTTGTTTTTTTGTTTTTCATTTGCTTTTTCAAAATAAACATTTTTCAAGTAGACAAGTCTGACTCAGAATACAGTTCTTCATTACTTTATGGTGGGTCTTGCACAACATCTGGTAATACCTCATGTTGCCAGTAATATTTCATCCAAGACATTTTGTTCCCATTAATTATCATACATAAGAAGACATCTCTGTGTTATTTTTATGGCTCCAAGGATCACATAAGGCAGGCGATGGGGTTTCTGTGTGGTGGAGATAGAGAGTGAATAGAGACACATCCCAGTGGGATGGCATGCAAGCAGCCAGGAAGATTTTGTATCCCAGCAAGCAGATGTTAGGAACAAAGCATGGGTCAAGTGACTTGAACCACTGTGTTTGCCCAGTGGATACTTTTGATGGGGACTCTAACAAGTCGAAATTGGAATTTTGTTTTCAATGAAAAAAATCATTCTTTGATTACTTCATCTAACCATTCCATAAGAATTTACATAGGAGTAAGATGTTCTGGTGTGCCATTGTGTGGTGACTATAGATAGTAATACAGGCTATATATTTCAAGAAGCTAGATGAAAGGACTGTAAAAGTTTTCATCAAGCCTGGCACAGTGGTGCACATCCACAATCTCATGACTTGGAGTCTGGGATAGAGGATTGCTAGTTCTAAGCCAGCTTCAGCAACTTAGTGAGCTTCCCAGCAACTTAGTGAGACCCTGTTTCAAAATTCAAAAATGTAAATAAATAAAATAAAAAGGACCAAGGATGTGACTCAGTGGTAAAGAACTCCTGAAGTGAGATCCCCTGTACTTAAAAAAAAAGTTTTCTTCATAAAGAAATGAGAAAGGTTTGAAGAGAAACATATATTTAACGTGATTTAAACATTACGTGCATCAATCATCACCAGATACCCCATTAATACATAAAATTTGTATGCTTTCATGAATCAGTTAAAATTGATTTAAAATTTAAAATAAAGGAAAAAGTAATTTATGAGAAAAATTAATTTATTGAGAAAAATTCAGCAAGACAGTTGAAGAAAGGTTTCTGTTGTGTTTTCCTTTGCAAAATAGAACCAAACAAAGAAAATAACAATAGCTATTCCACTGGAGTGTTTGAGGCAGAGCATTGGAGTGCAGTGGGGGGTGTGGCAGAGATGTCACAGAGCATGCAGACACACAATGGCCTTATAAAGAAAGTAACTAGGCACACAGCATCTACTATCCCCTCTCTCCAGCTGATGTTATCTCTGAACCAAGAGGGTCTCTGCTATCAAAAACAGAAGTAGAACTACCACATGATCCAGCAATCTCACTACAGACTTTATGGCCAAAGGAGATAAAATCAACACTGTCAAAGAGACATCGTTACCTCTATGTTTATTGCAGTAC